AAAAAAAAAATGGCCAAAAGCAACTTGGGGAGAAAAGGATTTATTTGGCTTACATATCCTGGGTCCTAGTCCACTGAGGGATGCCAAGACAGGAACCAGAGGCAGGAACTACAGCAGAAACCGTAGAAGAACGCTGCTTACTGGCTTGCTCCTGTCTTTTACTCGGCATGCATTTTATACCATTCAGGACCACAGGCCCAGGGGAGGCACCTCCCACAAGTGGACCTTCCCACATCAATCCATAACCAAGGAAATTCCCTAGAGACTTGCATATAGGCGATCCGATGTAGACATCATTTTCTCAACTGATGTTCCTCTTCTCTGATAACTCTAACTTGCATCACGTTGACCAAAAAAAAAAGGGGAGGGGTCCATGCCAACAGGTGAACTCAGGAGCTGAAGGAAGCATGAATGGCAGGAGATAAGCAACACAGGTTGGCCCAGCAAGCCCCTGAGTCCAAAGCACACAACCCAGAAAGTGAAGGATCCACACAGGGAGCTTGAATTCCTGTCTCACCTGTGCATCTCACACACACAAGCAGCATCTGGCAGAGAAACCTTCTCAACACTACAGTGAGGAAACTGAGGCACAGAGGGGCAACGCACCTTGTCAGGGACATAGAGCTGAGGTCAGAGCCGACTCTGGTCATCGTGGTCAGCAGGGGATGAGGAGCATCCATGTAGCTAACCAGAAGACAAAGAAGCAGGAAGCGGCACACCCAGGCAGACAGTGGAATGTGAGATGAAATCAAGCACTCTGGGAAACCCTGTTGGTACCTCAGTTTCTCCATCTGTAAAGGAGAATCAGCAATGTTCTTCCATCGCAGATGACTCTATCAGGTTAATGGACGAGAAAAAGGTTTTGGAGCTGGGTGGTGGTGCAGGCCTTTAATCCTGGCACTTGGGAAGCAGAGGCAGGCGCATATCTGAGTTTGAGGCCAGCTTCGTCTACAGAGTGAGTTCCAGGACAGCCAGGGTTTTACAGAGAGACCCTGTCTGAAAATGAAAAGAAACAAAAGAAAAAAAAAGATTTGGGGCAGGGAGACAGGGGACAAATGTCAGCTGCTATCATTTCCTCTTTCTACTATGAGCTGAGAAGCAGTGAGGAGTTCCATGGAACAGTGGCTGCTGACAAGAAAGGAAGGGCCGAATGAGGCACTCCATGCCAAGCTGTAAGGGCACCACTCTTCAAGGATTTCACAGTGACAATCGTGTGGGTACCATTGCCAGGCATACTGGAGTGGAGTGTTATGGCCTCATGGGAAGCACCTCATGCATGAGGATGGATACAGTGGTCCTTGGTGGTAGGTGCTTGGAGAATGACTGTGTAGATGGGGTAAGAAGTACCCTCAAGCTGCCCTCAGTTAGGAGACCCAAGCCCAGGTCCCAAGGAATAGAACTGAGGTCAAGAAAGGGGGCCAAGCTCCTCGTTCCTCTACGCCTGGCAGCATCCCTTAAGGCCTTGCCTTCGCTCCCATGGGCCCTGCAGCTCCCATGTGTGAAGAAATGGGACAGGGGTCTTAGAGAGAACCAAGCCAGCTTGATAAGCCAAATTCAGTCAAGTTCCTCCTCACAGCTCAGGTACATCAGGAAAGTAGCTGCCATGCCTGTGCCCCCAGGAGGCATCTAGGGCCTAGCATGTAGAGGGTCTGGGAAGGACCACTGAGGGTCATGTGGGGTCTATGGGTGAGTACACAGATGTGACAGGGGATAGGCACTGAGCAGGCCTCTGTGTTGCAGAGATCTGACCCAAGCCGTCCGAGGCAGCTGGCTCTGGATCACTTACAGTTTCTGGGGCATAGGTCACGAAGACCTTCCCAGCTTGGCAGGTGGCTCCACCCTATTGTCTCTCAGGTCTCCCCTCAGCCTTGGTGCTGAGGCATCATGCTTTCTGGAAACCGCCTCTCCACTGTGACAACTCTACTGTGGTTGGCGTTTGGTGGCATTCACTGCTGTCTCTTCTGTCTCCTTGCTCCTCAAAGCATCCTCCTTGTCACCGTCCCCTTTCTTACTGCCTACTGATTTGAGAAGACAACAAGGAGCTGGGATCTTCATCCCTGCCAGGTAGTGGAAAGGCAACAATGACTTTGCCTAGCATCACAAAGAACAGCCCCACATGGTGCCAACAGACGCCAAAGGGCATCCAGTATCCACCCTCCTGGTGATGGAAAACAGGCACCTCTCTCCAAGAGCAATGTCAGAGGTCACCAAAGTCAGGCTTCCTGAGATCCAGAGCATCCAGGGGCCATACACCAAACCTGCCTGCTTCTATCACAAAGCACTCATCACTCATCACAGTGAGAACCAGTAAGGACTCAGTGTGACCCACGATGACAATTGCTATCCCCAATACTACTGCACTGGAACCCAACAAAATAGACAGCACCAGCAGGGAAGTAGAATGCTCCAGAAGAAAGAGAAGATGAAAAGAATGGCCAAATTGACATTTTAGAACTAAAGACTATTGTCTAGCCCATGTCTGAAGCTTATCCTACACAAGATCTGATCTGTGAGGGACACATGTTAGGGAGAAAATATGGCTTTGTTCAGTGGGTAAGGAATAGAACTTTGCTGGTCAGTCAGTCTGTCTGCCAGTCCTCAGGTGTGAGGGAACACAGGGGACAGGAATAATGAGGGAGGGACATGGGCTAATGAATGGAGGTGCATTAGTCTGTTCTAAGGAAAGGTGGAGCCTTCTAGAACGCTCCTCACCCCCTTCACCATCTAAAGCTTCTGGTCCTGGTGGATAGTATGTGTCTTTAGCCTTGAAGGGGGATAAAAGAGATTAGCTAAGTCCAGGCCAAATTCAGCCTGCATCCCAGTCCTCAACAAAGCATCTCTCTGTGGTCAGCATGTGCACACAGAGGCAAGCAGGATCTGATCCAAAGGTTCAGCCAGTGGAGGGGACAGACACACTATAAAGGGACCCTGAGCATCCTCACCTGTTAGCTGCAGGCTAAATAAGACTCAGTGTTTTCAGCAATGATTGCCTGGGTCCATGCAGAGTCACCTAGGCAACTGTTAGCACAACTCAGAGGGGGAAAGTGGTAGGAGCTTCATACTGTACTGCCTAGGTGGGACTTCTCATCCTGGAGATCTGTAAGTCACTTAAGAGTGAGTGAAGTTAGGTTTGTTTAGGGTTTTCCCCAGCAACAAAACTAGAGCAGCCAGAAGGTCAAAGCTTAGTGCATGACTGCACAGAAGGGTGAAGAGACCAGAGAGGATGCTCTGGAGTTAACGATGTGGCAGTGAGGCTCACCCCACCTGAGGGACAGCAGAGCAATGGGAACTGGCGGTCTTAGGCTAAGTGTCCCATTCTAAAAGTCCTTGAAGGAGAGCAAGATGGAGGGAGGGAAGGAAGCATGCAAGGAGGGAGGTAGGTACTGGAAGTTTATTTGAAGAAATCGTGCCTGAAAACTTCCTAAATTCAGCAATACATGCACACACAAACACACAGGGTCCAGACAGTATGTGAGCCCCAAGCAGGGGGAGTCTAATGAACTACACACGAAGACATCACAACCAAGCTCCTAGAAACAAAGCATGGAGGCAGAGGAGGCAGAGAAGAGCAGTAACTTATCTACGGGGAGAAACCAGCAGGGTGACAGGGACTCTCGTGTCACAAATCTCAGGTGCTGTTAGAAGGAAGGAACAACATTTTTCAAGTACTGAAAAAAATATATACCTGTCACCCAGCATCATATATCCTGAAGAAAGGGAATGGAATGAAGACATTCTCAGGAGAAGGAAAATGAAGAGTCTGTTACCAGGGACCCTACCCTTGAGGAATGGGTGACGACAGGACATCTCTAACCAGAAAGGAAAGATGGGGCGGGCAGATGACTCAATGGGTGAAGGCACTTGTGACTAAACCCGACAGTTTGAGTACAGCCCGTGGGAACCACATGGTGGAAGGAGAGAGCCCATTCCTCCAGTAGTCCTCTGACGTCCATGCATGTGCCATGGCATGCACATACATGCACACACACACACACACACACACACACACACACACACAGATTATAATTAAAGCCATGTTTAATCCTGGCTTATTCCATAGGAGAAGCAACTGTGGGACATCAAGAAGGAAGAACAGAGGGAGGGGGCTGGCAGCTGAGTCAACAGCTTTTCCCTTTTGTGCCTCCTGTGTGCAGTGCCGCAATCCTGTTGAGGGGCTAGTTCCGTGCACAGAAGTATTCCATCTGTTATAGTCAGGGGAAGGCAGGACACAAGACCAACATGGCAGTCCTGAATTACAATAGCCAGGCTAGCGGCACACACCTGCAGCGGCAGCACTTGGCAAGTGAGGCAGGGGGTTCGTGAGTTTGCAGCCACCCTGGGTTACACTGTGAGACTTTGCCTCAAAATGAAAACTCACATTTAATGTTAATTTCCCCAAACCACCAGTGAAAGACAGGATGACAGAGTGCATTGAGGAACATGGTCCAACCAAGAGCTGGTACACGACCATCACTTCAGAGGTGATGATGTAGGTGAGTTGAAAGGAAAAGATGGAAAAAAATATGAAACATTCATCCACAGAGAGTACGTTGTCTACATTAACCTCTGACAAAGTATGACAGAGAGAGAGGGAGACTATAACGGTAAAATGTCAATCCTCCCAAAAGGTAAAGCATTCTCAGTGTAGAGACACCAAACAACACGGACACAAAACACTTAAAACATAGACATGAAAATAAAACAGTGTAATCAACAATTAGAGTTGGATGCTTCAATATCAGTCTATCAAGAAAAATCAGCTAGATAAAACCAGCACAGTTATGAAACATCAGCAACACTAAAGCCCAGGAGAATCGAATGATATTCCACAGTGGTCCTCCATGCTATGGCAACAAAGCCCACATCCCTTGTGAAACCCACAGAAAAAAATACCAAGACGAAACATGTCCTGGGTCAGAAAAGAAGCCTCATCAAATGAAAGATCGCCGGCCTCCGAGTGCCCTCAGTCCAATCAACTCCAGCTGGAGGTTGATAACTAAGAGGCAAGAGGAAAGCCTTCAAACACTTGGAAATTACTCAGCCCATCAGTCAGAAAAGGAAGTCTCAGGTGTTTTTTTAAAACTACATTGAACCAAATAAAAGTAAAAATATAGCATGCCAAAATGTGCGGGACAGTTAAAGCAATGCTCGGAGGGACTCTTACAGCACTAAATGTCTGCCTTAGACAAACAGAGCACCTCTAGTCAATAATCAAATTTCCTTCTTCAAGATCCCAAAAGCAGAGGAGTCAAACACCCATGCTTAGCAGAAGAGGGAAAAAACAGAAGCCGAAATCGATGACGTGGAAAACAGAAAGCAATGGAAATCGATGAAACAAAAAGCGGGCTCTTTGTAAAGGATCAATAAAATTGATAGCTCCTTGTGTGCTAAGGAACTCTGCGCTGCACACTCCACTGCACCGTCTCCCCTCAGTATTTCAGAGGCCCCTGCCCTCAGCAGCACACCAAACCTTCAGAACACCTGAGTGCCTGAGTCTGTTGTGCCGGAGTCATCAGGACACCTCCTCACCATGGACACCATGGAGGGGGCAGAGGGGATGTGATCTGCTCCAGGGCAAACAGCAGTGGAGGACAGAGTGATGTGGAAGAGCAGGTTGCCTGGTCCCTGGCCCCACATTCAGAAGACGTGGAGCTGATACAGGCATTGTGTTCTCTTCCGGGGAGCCCTGTCTACAGGAGCATGAATGGGGTACGCACTGTGGTGAGAAAGAGATCATCATTATTGTCAGTGGTTGACTCCCCAGTGTTCATCCATTACCCTGGCTGGGTACACAGAGGTGGGATGTGTTGGAAACCCTGATGGTGTGTAAGGTGTTATAGGCACCAAAGCTTGGGGTTGAACCCCTGACCTGTCCTGTGTGCTCGGCAAGGAAACGTGACCTCACAGAACTCCAGAGTCCTAACCTGTGTGTCAGGAATAATGATAGCAAGGTTCTACCTCACAAGCCTGTGTCGACAAGTAGAAGAAATCCAGGCAGTATCAGTCTATGCCTAGAGGACACTGGACAAGCAGGCAGCAGCTGGCTCAGATCTTGCCACCACCAAAACCATATCACGGCTGATACTCACAGCACCAGTACCAATGTAATTGATGACAATAAGTCATTGACACTGACATTTTTGAAGATTTTGCTGATAATGGTGTCACTGATGTTGCTAATGATGTCATTGATGATGATATTGTTGTTGATGTTGGTGATGATATCATTGATGTTATGGATGATGGTGTCATTGTTGGTGATAGCATCATTGATGATAATGATGTCACTGATGTTGCTGAAGGTAGTGTCATGGATAATGATAGTGTCATTGATGTTGGTGATGATGATGTCACTGACGTGGACTGTGCCATGATGTTGATGACCATAGTATCACTGATATTGCTGATAGCATCACTGATGTTGCTGTGCTAATGTCATTGGTGATTATGTCATTGATATTGCTGATGGTGTCATCAGTGTTCATAATAATGTCATTAGTTTTGATGGCCACGTTTTGCTTCTATGTATTTGGTCACATATTACTTGGAATTTGATGCCACTCTTTTCCTTGGTGACCACTTGAATGATCCCCACACCCACTCTAGCAAAAACACCTCTGGATGGCCTCATGGACCTCCTAACAGAGGGCAAAAACGCCTCTGGATGGCCTCATGGACCTCCTAACAGAGGGCAAAAACACCTCTGGATGGCCTCATGGACCTCCTAACAGAGGGCAGTTTAGGCATCTGCTTTAGTCAGGCTTGTTGCTGTAACAAATACCTCAAGGATACAACTTGGAAGAAGAAAGGTTTACCACAGGTCATGGTTTCACATGTCTCAACCCAAGGTTGAACGGGTCTATTGCCTTTGGTCTGAGATAAGGCAAAACATCAGGGCAGAAGGAGTGAGTGGCAAAGACTATTCATGGCATGTTGAGGAAGAAGCAGAGAACAAACAGAAAAGAACCATAAACACGATACACTTCCGAAGCTGCCCAAGAATCTACCTCCTACAACCAGGCCTCACCTACTAAGTTTCCACCTTCTCTCAAAATACTGCCACCTCCTGGGGACCAAAGAACCAACAGATGAGCCTGGGGGAGACTCAAGATTCCAATCAGAAGTACTTTGCAACAGGGGCATCACAGCCCATGGAGATTGACAGGTTCCTCTTAGGCACAGCGAGACTGAGCTCTACGAGGCTGGGTGCTAGGGACACTCACCAAGTTCTTCATGACACTGAAGCTAGCAAGTCCTTGAGGACTAAGTCCAATGAGTACAGGACTAGGGGGTGTGAACCACTGAGCATGAGAAAGCTTGACAAAGTCACTGAAACA